CTTCCTCTGTGTTGACGGGAGATAGGCCAGACGTACCATCACTCAGTGACTCGTTGGGGACAGCATGTGGTTTACTGGAAGACTGGGACCTTTTTACCACTGCAAGGGCAAATGTTGAAGAAGGAGAACTCGAGAATGGCCGTGGAGCACCAAAAGTTTTCAAAGTCTTCAGATTTTGTGCTGCCAGCTGAGGCACAGGTTTTGGAGCGACTGGAGGAGCAGAGGTTTCAACAGGCTTCTGGTCAGTGATGCCAACATCCGATTGTTTTGTCAGGGGCGGTGGGGGGAGAGCAGCTGTTTGATGCGAGAGAGAAAACGTGCTCTCTGCAGAAGGCAGCTGATTCCTTTCTGCTTCTTTACCTGGGAGCTCCTTTGGAACAGGGCTCTGGGCAGCATGGACGCTCTGGGCAGCTGCTGATGTCACATACTGACTTGCTACTCTTTTTTGCATCTGCAAGAAGAACGAGCTTGGCTTGGCTTGCGGGTTTGACATTCGAGATTTAAGTCTGGACTCTAGAACACTGTTTATATCTTCCAAACTTGGGGCAAATGGGGCCGTGCCAGGATCTCTTGTCATTCTGGGAGTGGATTTCGGAGGATGACACATGGTGGGATCAGTCGTGTGGCCCAGGCTGTGTAGCAGATGGCCAGTTCCCAGGTTCGGTTTTGGTTTAAGGCTTGGCTTTGGCTTCTTGGGGCCTTCTGTCTGGATTGCAGTTTCTTTCACATTCTCATGAGGATGCTTTATTTCTAAAGGAGGCATCTCCTGATCATTCTTGTACCCTGTGCTTTCTGACTCCCCATCTTTTAATATTTCCAAAGATTTGGGAGGCACTATTTTATAAGTAGTCATTCCAATTTTGGGTATATAACACCTTGTCATTTCATCTGATGGTTTGGGCGTGGGTTTGTAGTCCTCTCTGTAAAATGGGTCATCTGGATAAGCAGCATTTGCATTTTTATCAGTCCCATCTTTGGAAGTCAAAAGATCATCACTACCAGGCTCAAACTTTGGTTCTTTTATGGTGAGTTGGTCTTCCTGCGTTGTTAGTGTTCCTTGAGTCTGGAATTCTCTTGAGCTGTCTACAGAATTCTGTGGCTTTGAGGATGAGGCCCGAGCTGCTTTGCTACTTGTTGAAGCCTGAACACTTTCATCAATCCTGAAGTCAGACAGACAATGATCTTGCTGATTTTTATCAAAACTGTTACAGGGAGGGGCTATCTGTATGGTAGCATCTTGCATTTTTGTCTTCTCCACTATGAGCTGAGCCAGCTTTTGGTCTGTCACTGATGAAGTCACTAGATCATTTTCTTTGTAATTTACAGTATTAGTTTTACATGCCTGAGAGTTTGAGAGGCTATCAACTTTTATGTCCATGTCGCTACTTTGGGCAACACTTGCTACATTCATCTCTGTCCTCCTCACCCCATTTTTCTCATTATCTTCTGTTTTAATTACTTCATTTTGATCATTCTTTGGGCTTGAGCCCAATGACTTCAAGTTTTGTACACTGTCAACTGCCGTCTCTGCATTGCTTGTGTTATATACATGTGGCCCTAGTCCATCTGTGTTTCTAGTTTCTTGTTTTTCTTCCTTGGAGTTTTGTGAAGACTCTTCAATATCATTGCCAAGGACTGAGTCAGAATCATTTTTTGTGGTATTTATTATATCAGCAGATGCAGAAGGAATGTCTTTTAATTTTGGTGAAATATTTTCAGCCTCATCTTTAGGCAATTTACTCAGTTCTTCTTTCTCATCTATTTCTTCAAGACTATAATCAGAACTTACTCCAGATGTCAGTGATGCCGCAGCCGCCTCAGATGTCCCAGAATGTTCGGAAGCAGAGGTCTCAGTGGTGAGCACGGGTGCAGTGCTTTGCTTGTGACTGGACAGCCCAGAGTCAGGGGAGGCTTCTGCTGGGCTAGATAACCCCTCAGGTGAGTTTGCTTCTGAAACACTATGGGGAGAAGCTGATTCCTCTGATGGTGACACCATCATGTGACTGTTTTCCTCACTTTGATGCAGAGGCCTTTTGGATGGTGGCAATGGTGCTTTTCGCTTTGTCCTTCTCAAAGACGAATTCCCAAAGGGCGAACTACTCAGCTGCAAAGAGGCTGGCCTCACGACGACGTCTGTTTCACTGGGACCCTTATTAGTTTCATCCACACTCATGGATTTCACTATACAAGAAGCTGGCCTCATGGAGGTTTGGGCAAGGTCCTGTGAGGCACTCTGAGATGCTGACATTGGAGGCAATGGAGCACGCCTCTTCTTGGGTGCATTTGATGGCAGGGTGTTTGAAACATATTGTTTGGAAATGGTATTGGACCTCGTAAGTGTTGGGCGAGGCTTACTTATCAGAGGAGTGGTAGGGGCGCTCGCTGTTTGCTCTCGCTTTTTCTTACTGCGTTGAAAAAAACTGAAAAATCCTTTATTTTCTCTTTCCTTCATCATGTCTAGGTTTGGGGATATCTGGCAGGATTCTCTGCTGACATCCATGGCATATAATTCTCTTAGGCCCAGCTCATTAAGGGATTTTGTCATGTCAAGAGCCTCCTGAGACTGATAGTCCTTCAACAGCAGCGTATGTAATGGATCAAACTCACATTTATCACATATAATGGGGGCAAGCTCTTGAAGTGGTGTGTGTGGATTCACTCTCACTATTGCCTTCTGTGTTTTCTTAAAATTGATCACTACTCTCACAGTTTTCTCTGGTATTATACGTGTAGGTTTTTTCTTATCCAAAACTTTTGGCTTTAAAATGACCTTCTCCACTTCCAACATCCCTATTGGTGTGTTTGGCTTAAATTTAATGGGATTCTTTTCTGCTGACAGAAGATCAATCGTGTAGCTTGATGGGTTTAAGTGATATTTTGCACAGAGGAATATCAGCAAGTCCATCATAGGTTTACTGCCATGAACAGTAGTTGATTTGATAATATCCCCAGGTAGAACCACCAAGAGCTCAACGTCTTTGTCGATCATGTTTTCTTTCTGCTCCATGATGAAGACAGAGGATTCTACAGATTTGTCAACAGAAAGGACCTCAGCAGGTCTGGTCTCAGCTGGAGGAGGTGGTGCCTTGGCTTTTGGTTTTCTTATTCGGTCAAATACGTGCACGCAATGTGTGTAACAGCTCTCTTCGTAGACCCACTGCCACTGAGTGACCCACTCATTTGTTGTGTCCCAAGAGATCTCCGCCAAATTCCCACGAGTGGGCTCACCCTTGAGTACTCTGCTAGGAAATCAGTGGTGCTCAAGAAAACCCCATTAGGATCCTATCTCCCTTTCTCGTGCCAGATCAGTCCCACAGCAGCTCGACTGGTGGCTTTGGGGGAGGGCTGGAACCAAGGCATGCCTTTGGGTTCTGATTCAAAATCATGACTGTTTGTAGATCTCTGTACTGCATGAAGGACTCACTAGTGGCCCAGAGCGCTGCCGGGGGTGCAGGGCTGTGGCGCGGTCACCAGAGTGTGTGGGGGGCTGTGGGGTTAGGGAGACGGGGCTTGGGCTTGCTGGGAGTTAGGGTCTGTTCCCAGATGTTAAGCTGCCAAGTCACTTGTCCTCAGCACATCAGATGCCTGTGCTGCTATGCATGTGGCTGGAGCACCATCTCATTCATTATGCCTAGAAAATTGTATTCTACTAATTCTTCCACAACTTCCTCTGTGCCTTTAATTACTTCTTCCTGTTCTGAGATTCCAACTATGCATATGTTATTCCTCTTGATGGTTTCTCACATTATTCTCAGGCTTTCTTCCTTTTTCTTTCTTTTTGATTCTACTTTTTGTTCTAGTAGATCAGTGGTGACAATTCTATCTTCTATTTCACTGGTTCTGTGTTCCATCTCTTCAACCCTGTTCATATGTCCCTCCAACATGTTGCCAGTATCTGAAACATTGTCCTCGTATTTTGAATTGTGTTTTCTTGTTTTCCCCGATCCTCTAATGCCTCATTTGTTTAATCTGCATTGTTTTGGATTGTTTTTTAAGTTACTCTTTGTTTTTGCTTGTAGTGTCCTGTAATTCTTCAAGTTTGTGTTTACCCATTGAAAATATTCAATCATTATTCTTTTAAATCCTGTGTCAGAAAGTTCCATCAGACTCTCTGGCTTCAGGAAATACATTGATACTACTTCACCTTTTGAGAGTGACATCTTGTTTTGGAGGTAATAGCAGTCTCTTGGTATGATGTTACTGCTCCAGAGGAGGGTTGGGAAGCTACCCTGCCTGAGTTTTCTCTGATATTTTGACTTGCAAGGTAAGACTTGCTTCAGTTCTGGAGAGATAAGGCCTATGAATTAGCAGTCTCTTCTTTCAGACAACTGCTGCAACTAGACCAATCCAAGGTTCTTCAGATTAAGACAGCTCATGCTTTGGGAGGGGAGAGAAAATGAAATGTGTTCAACTGTGATACTGATGTCTCTGGCACAGTTCAGAGGGACTGTAGCAGGTCAAATCCCAGGCATTGGGGTTGGGGCATCCAGTATTTGGGGCCAGATTCTCCAGATCGTGAGGTCAGATCCTCCAGGTGGTGAGATGGGACTTCCAGGTGGTGGCAGTGGGACTTCCAGACAGTAGGTTCAGGACTTTCCATGTGAAGGGAAATTTCTGGGCTTCCCGACAGTGAGTGGGAGTGTCCAGGGAGCAGGGAAAGGTCTTTAGTAGGCTGGTTCAGAGGTTCAGGTGGCAGGACCAAGGTCCTCCAGTTGGAGCGGGGAGGCATGTCATGCAGTGGTGCTGCAATCTAGTGCTCCCACAAGGAGACCAGTCCAGGTCTCATCTTCCTCACAAGAGGATCCTCAGAGTCCGTTGGTTTCAGCAGAAATTCTAGATGTCTGCTGAGAAGCCTCATTCATGAAACTGCTGTCTGGCTTGGTGGACAGCTTTGCAGACCAGGGGAGGAGCATATATTTTTGTTTTCTTGATGTTGAAATATAATCCATATTGAAGACTATAGTCCTAGATTTTCTTCAGCCAATGCTTCAGATCTTCCTCACTTTCAGAGATCAAGATTGTGTCAAATGAATAATGCAAGCTCTTGATGAGCCTTCCACCAACTGTGATGTGACAGTCTTCATAAACTCAATCTTGCCTAATGATTTGTTCAGCATACAGAATAAATAATTATGGAGAGGATCGGCCCTGGTGCACACATTTCCTGTTTTTAAAGCATGTAGTGTTACCTTGATATCTTCAGACTACAGCTTCTTGGTCTAGGGATAGATTTTGTATAAGCATAAGTAAGTGCTCTTTACTTTCAGCCAGGATCCATTTAACACAGCAGTAGTATTTCTGTTGCCATAGCCTCTTCTAAAATCTGCTTAAGACTAATGAGAAAGTAGACTTTCAGATCACTTGCTATGCATCTGAGAGCTGGACAATGAATAAAGATAACATAAGCATTGATGTTTTTGAGCTGTCATGTTAGAGAAGAGTACTGAACATCCCATGGACTTCCAAAAGTACAAACAAATATATTTTTGAGAAAGTGCTCTTGCAAAAGATGATATAGCTTCAGCTAATGTACTTCAAACATGTTGCTAGGAGAGGCTGTTTTTTGGAAAGGGACATCATGGTTGGAAAGGCAGATGGTTGAACAAGGAAAAGACCCTCGAGCAGGCAGATTGACGCAATGACTGCCTCAATGGGCTCTAGTGTATCAGGAAGTATAAGGGTGGCACAAGATAGAAGAGGGTTCAGATATGTTGTTCATAGGGTTCATATGGGTCATACTCAACTTGACTGCACCTAACAAGAGTAACAAATTAAACGTAGATGGATGGGATCTTCTAAGACTCAAATCCCTATGCACATCCAAAAACTTCTCCAGTAGTGTAAAAAGGGAAGCCACTGACTGGGAAAAAGTATTTGGTAATAACATATCAGATAAGGGACTTATATCCAGAATTTATGAAATACTTAAGCACCACAAC